CACCGTGTGGAATGCTTCTGGCAGGGGTTGCTGCGTGTGAAGGTCGAGCAAGTCCAACTCACAGCCAAAGACATCCAGATCAGAGACTGTTGGCAGGAAGCAGAGAATGTCATCTTCCAGCTCTGCCAAGTCCTCATACTGAGCGAGATTTGTTTGCATAGCATATTCCGCGCCTGCTATCGTCACCAAATCAATACTGACCTCATATCGGTCTTGGTCAGGCGACATTGTCGCTGTAGGCGGCAGTCCGAGCGTTTTTGCTCGAGTTGCTTGGGCCAAACAATTGAGGTAACGAACATGCTGTCATTTCGAAAACAAATGAAAACACTCAGACAACAAGAAGTAGGGTGGCTAAGGCCACCCATCTCATGAAGGAGTTCAAGTTACTAGGAGGCGGTGACAGTGTGCGGAGACTCCTATGGAGACCGCCCTACTGCCACCACCCATAGGGCGGAGGCGGTGGGGGAGGCCTGATGTGACAGGAAGACCCTGCTGCAGACGAGGAGCTTCCGTCTCCTGGAGGAGGGACGGTGCGGCGAGCTTTATTACGTGGGTCGGAGTCTTCCTGACTGTAGCCCATTTGGTCCCTAAGTGCCTGCTTGTGGCCTGCGAGCTGACTTCTAAACGTGGGATTCCCAGTGAGCCATGCGAGGTGGAAGCTTTTGGCTCAAACAGTAAATGAAAGTAGTCTGCCACACATGGAGCTCGACGACTCATCCAGGCTTAGCACTCCCCCTGAAATGGAGCCGGTCATGGACTGCTCCTTGGTACTGACAACGCTCTCGGGGGTGACTATCAAGGTCTCTCTCAGTGTGGCAAAGTTTGATCGATTTGAGGACCTAGAGGACCAGGTTATGGACTATCTGGTCTCAGTTCCTGACCTTAAAGTGTTTGCATGCTCCATCGACTTTCTGCAAACTGCCACGCAGACATACCTAGAGGACCCAATCTGGGACAGGCTACAGCAAAGCATGGCGTACACTATTGTCTTCAGGGATAGCAGTGTAATCCTGCCATCGCAGGAACAACTTGAAGGATGCCCTATCCATCATGTTCCGCTTGCTGTTCATGTCCCCATGAACCCAGAGGAAATCGTCCCGGAAGGGGCTTTTGCAGGGGTTCCGCGTATGC